TTATTAACTATTTTATGGGCATTCAAATTCTGGCATCAAAAACTATATAATGCCAAATATACCTTTTTTCTAACAATGAACAATTAATAAGAGTGAACTTAATTAAAATTATACTTGTACAACTTATTTATGTTACTTTATATTTTATTATATGCTTACATTACCTCGGAGTAAAATGGTCGTATAATAATAAACTTATAATAGATTTATGTAGGCATAAACCGATAGACGTAAAATACTGATTGTTAATATTACTGCAGTTAAATAGTAGCTATTAGTAGGTACTAGGTCTTACCATTTACTATTTATTAATTATTATTTAATGATAGTAGGTAACTAAAAATTACAATTAGCTGAAGTTTAAAAACTTGTTTTTCCTGCACTTTTACTCATAAATTCATAACATGTTGTGTACAAATTATGTGGATATAAACTAACAAATTGGTTTCAAATAGATAGTTCTTTATTTTCTAATATACTAATTGGTAAAATTACTTCTTCAAGTTATGTTGTGTAGTAGGTAGGTAGTAATGGTATTTATTATATATATTATTTAGGTAGTAGATACTGTAATTAAGTTTCCCTTGAAAAAAAAAACAATATTATTTACTTCCTTATTATATTTTGAATTGATGCGATGTATAAAGTTGTTTCTTTTATACTTTTTACAACAACTATCAACTTAATAATATTATATCTATTAGTTTTTCTAATAAACACGGTTTTTTTTTAAGTTTAGTTAAAATATAATAAAATATAATACGGTGAATTCTATTGATTTGAATCCATCTGTCATTTTTAAAAAACTCTTGAGGGCCGCATTCGTAATTAAAACAATTATTAAACGATTAAAAAGGTGTAAGTATATATATGCTATGCTTAAAATATATTCGTGGTACACAAACAAAAAAGGTGGGCAGCGGGTTTAAGACCACTGATTTTGAGAGAATATCCTTGCTTGAATGTTAAATCACTTCGGGCCTTAATCATAGTCGATGCTTATGAATTATGAATAAATATTGCTTAAGTTATATGCCTACTTATGACACAAGAGAGATTCATAAAAGATACTTTTGCTTAAAAAAATAAAAAGTATTACTTAAATTAAGGTTGGTTGAGACCTACCTTAAGCATTGCTTAAGTTTTTATAACATTTTTTTTATATTTTAAAATTTAAATTATCAAAATTATAGCTTAAGCGCCTTAAGCAGTTAAGCAATACTTATTCTTAAGCATCGACTATGAATACGGTCCTTAGTGTTGTTTTCTATTTTACGGGAAAAGACCCCGATGTTACATTACAATGAGGCTTTGAAGTGTTTTGGAAGAATTTCTATTTACGCATAATTGTTGTTATATTATGATTACTTTTGAATGATCAGTTTTATAATAACGAGTAGGTATGTTTTATAATTTTATATTACGGTTTGGAACGGTTTCTGTTATAGTTTTAATCTGGAAGACGAGTTAAATTTATTACTTTAAATGAGGCCAAGTCATAAAATTTATTTTGAACAGCTTTGTTTTACTTACATTTTTGGTGGGTGATCTCAAATTTTATCACGTATCAGTCTAGATTAATTAATTAAATAGTAATTTTCAGAGAATTTGTTTGAATAGAGTGATATTTCAGAAGTTTGATTCCTGCAGACAAAAACCGTTTTAAATTACACCGACTAGAATTTAATGTGAGTTCAGTGGAATGTCTATTTTATACCTATTATTAAAAGTTATAACATATATAATATTTAAGTGAGCATTTATGGTTACCGAACCGCATTTTAGTCTATAATTGTATATCGCCATATCGACACGTCAATCATGATGCACAACAAACGATAGACGGTTTGACCCAACGATATATCTGTTTTTGATTCGACAAAATGAATCGTGAGTTCTATACTCATATAGATGGCAGTCACCCAGTTTGTCCAGACAAACTTGTTGGCACTTGGCAGGATATTGCTATCTCTCGCGGTGCCGATTAAACGTCATGCCCACGCGGTGCTTTATACAATCGCTTGTTCTTTCTATTCAATCTTAAGAATAATATGTCGACGTCCATCCTTTTGGATTATGTGCATATTTAATATTATTATATAATCAGGGTTTTCTTTAACAAAGGAAAGTGATTTGTTGTCAGCTAGATGTCATCGGTCCACTTGCATCGCTTACAAGCGCATCATCAATTTATAATACAACGAAACTTTTATTTGCAAAGTCTGTAGTAGCTTCAAGCTCCAGCTGATCAAAGAAATCGATGATTAAAATTAGGGATGTTAATTCAAAAACTGTTTGATATGCATTAATAATCGTTATCAAAATGTGCAAAAACGTATATTTTAAAACTTTCGGAAACGCAAGTACCTCTTACTTTATTTTTAATACAACTCTAAAAACATAATTAAAACAGTATTTTGTCGAGATTTATTGACAAGATTTATTATTTATGTTATTTTGTCGTAAAAAACTTAACTATTTATAGTATTTGCTACTTATTTATTTAGGTTAAAAATAACCATCAAAGTTCAATAACTGAACATTATTTTTTTTTATTGGAATTTGTATACTCATTGTTTTTGCGGATAAAAGTTAAATTATTAATGGCATAAACTTTCCACAAGTTCATCGACTTTGTTTAGTCTATTCAGTTTTAAAACCCTATTGATTATTTTTAATATGTATGTAAATATTAGGTAGGATTATAAACATTATTATTATAATATAGTATATATAAATTAGTATAATGTAATCATTGATTACTACACCTATATTACCATAATATGATATATATATAATACAATGTATAATCTATTAATGTGTATAGTGTATGCAATACAAAGTGCTTATACATTAAATTCGACGACGACGACTGCCGACGACGGAGGCTCATAATATACCACTATAACCGAGTGTGTATATAATTAGAAAAACACTGTTCGTCCCTTCGCCCCTTCCACGCATACCCTAACACCACCGAAACCGTCTTCCTTCTTATCCCGTCGTGCACTACTGCAACAATACGCACACATATTGTATATAATATGTATACAAGTATGTATTGTGATGTATAGCTGTAAATATATATATATACATTGCACTCGTGTATAAATTAGTTATTATTAGTAAAGTGCGGTGGCGGCGTATTGGCAGCCGGCGGCGGCACGCCCGTCTTAGAACTCTGGCGCTCATTGCCATTGACGTCGTCGGCATTGGATACGTTATAGGTACACGGCGACACGAATATTGATGCATCGTTTCGCAATGGCATAATAGTCCGTCACCTCGGTCGCGTGTCCGTCCGTCGATTATAATTTAATAATAATACACCTACGACACAATCATCGCGTTATTATGTAGGTACGTATTGTTAATATTATTATTATTATTATTATTATTGTCGGTCATTTTCGATCTGCAATATTACTGCACACTCGTGATTAAATTTTTTTTTTTTTTATTTCACGAATTCTGATCGCTAGCTTACTTACTTAGACTGTCTGCTATTAAATATTGATTAAAATATTTATTTATTTATCACATGGAATTGCGCCTGCTCGTTCGTGTGCGCAATCAACACAGGTTAAACGGTTTGAGTTTTAATCAACTGTGAGTACTGCACACTTTTAAATTTGCTACTATGCGCTTAATATTAGCTACTGCACATAGTGTGTGCTACTGCACACAATTTTAGGCCCCGTTATGAATTTCATTTGAATCATAAGTACTCGTATAGCTTTAGCAATATTTATTCTTGAGCATCGACTATGAATACGGCTCTTAAGCTTTTAAGATTTTTGAAATATGTTGACATGATAGTTAATACAATATTTTATAGGCAGTATAGTCTTTTGATGTAGTTAATCAAAACTAATAAGAACTATATGTCTAGGTACAAATAAATCTAAAAATTACTCATTAGTGTGATGAAACAAAATCTAAAATGTATCAATATTTTTTTGATATTATTAGCTCAAAGTGACTCCGAGCTATGTTTAGAAAGTTAAATTTTTCCAAACAAAAGTTTGGTAAATGTCTTTTAGTTAATTTAGGAAGATAAAATGTACTATTATGGTTCATTCTTCAGTATAATTTAAAAGTTTAATTTTCCAGAAATACAAATTTTCTTATAAAAAATCTAAAAATATTATGAATTACAAAAATTGAATAGTACCTATATATTATACATATATTATGTATACCTGCAGTAGTGCATCTTCTTTATTGTTTATATAAGTTATTATCTAAATTCAATCGCTTTACTATAATTAGGGGAGATTTAGTACTTAAAAAAAATGATACTTACTATTACGTTTACTTATAACATCTATTTTACAGTTCAAAAACTAAAGTTAAAAATATAGCAATACTTAAGCATAATATACAAAAAGTATACACATATTGTAATAGTAATAAAGGATTGGCAGCAGTATTCAAAGATTAATTCTCTTAATAAACTCCTATCAATATGGAGTAATATCTAATAAGTTATATTGATGCTACAACAAGATTTTTTTTATTTGTTCTTACACATGTAAAATATCAAAAACAAGCTTATAGAGAACAGTGAATGATATTATAAATTATAATGTTATGAATGATTGACAAGTGATTTTAGAGCCAAAAAATCCATTGTAAAGAAATTTAAAAGTAAGTTTTCGAGTAAATTTTGAATAGCGCTTTTAACAAGACACAACATTTAGGTTGTATTAAATATTTTATTTTGACAGACTTCACTGCAATACAATTTTTATTTGTAAAAGTATTTACAAAAATCTTAGTTGGCACATTCGGAAATTAAATTAAAAAAAATACATTATTCATTAGTGTTTTAGTTTTAAAATAACGTTCAAGATTAAGTTATTTAATTACATACGACTACATGGGCAGTACAAATAGTTGTAAACCGTTTAGTATATTATTACATTATAAGCATAGAAAATGTATTTCATATTAAAGATATCAAATTTAATTTTAATATTTATTTTGTACTATCGTAGATGTGACAACTACGGCCAAACTACTAATACGGCTAAGGTCAACGACCAAACCACCAACGATCCCACAGGTGGTGCTGTCGCGGAGGCGGCAACACCCCTGACGGCGGCGCAAGTGGTCAAAGGCGTTACTTCCACCGAAACCACCGCAGAGGACGTAACCATGGAAGTACAGATCGACGACGAGATAGACGAGGATGACGGTGAGCGGTACTCATCGTATTCAATGTCATCGGTGGAGGACGAAAACGGTGATGGCAGTGACGGTAGCCGTAAAACCGCTGTGACAAAAGTGACATGTGACGAAGACGACATTGACCACAACTTTAATACTGAGACCAATGACCACAGTTGTAGCAGTGCTGTTGTAGATACTACTACTTCACCACCTCCGGATGTCATAATGCATCACAACCATGATGTCATCAAGCGGAAAGGTTCGCGTCGAAGCCGCCGCAAACGCCGGTCGTCAACCACAGCCACGGTGGTTAGCGATCAAGATGTCCCCATGGCGCCTGTGGTTGGTACGGTAGGCGAAGAGGAACCGTTAGTACCTTCCCCGTCACTGCCAGAAGAAATAAATACGATGAATACCGCCGACACCACTATTACCATAGAGTCAATCAATAAAGATAACACCAATATTGAATACAACGATGGTAATATAATTGCCAAAACTGTCGATAGTAATGCTAATGATACCAGTACGACGGTTGTCGACACTACCTCACCCAAAGGCAACAGTGACCACCAGTCCACGGCGACAACTACACTGCAATCACAACAGGTATGGTATTAATGTCTGACCATTAGTGAGACGCTTTACTCTTATATTTTGTAGTTCCCGTAACGATATGATCTTTTTTCTATCTATATACAGCAGTCACAGGAACCATCAATGATCTCGGCCGCCGTACAAGATATAGTGACGCCAATGGTACACATTGCAGCCACTGTAGCAGCTGTCCAGGATGTTGAGAGTCGGTTATTGGAAGACTTTGAGTGGAAGCTCAGCGAGGTGCACCGGCAGTGGAAACGCCGACTGTCAGATCACGAACGTAAGTTGGCCGACGAGATGGCCAAGCGACAGCGTGAGCTGAACGATGACATGGACAGGCGGGCATTGGAGCTGGCAGAAGAGGTAATGAAACGCGAGCAGAGGATGGCGGAGGAGATGGTGGAACACGAGAGACACCTCAAGGGCGTGTTGATAAAGCGGGAACGAGATCTCGAGGAGAGGACGGCCGCGGAGATGGCCGAGCGTAAGCGTGAGTTCGAGGTTATGGCCAAGAATGAAGTGGATGCCAAGAAACAAACGATAATGGCCGAGGCAGAGGCGAAGGTGGCCAAGCGAGAGAAGGAACTTAAAGCTGAGGCAGAGGAAGCGATAGCGGCGGCGAAACGGGAGCGCCGGCTGGCCGCTGTGGAGGCTTCGAAGCGTGAACGGGACGCAGTGGCGACGGCGTTGGCGGAGGCCGCGAAGCGAGAGCAACAGCTATTGGCGGACGCGGACAAGCGGGAGCGAGACCTCAAGGCTGAAGCTGATCGCCGGCAATGGGAAATGGTCGAGCTGGAGGTGGCCAAGGCGGCCAAACGTGAACGCGAGCTGCGGGCAGAATGGGCTGCCCGGGAACGACAGCTGGCCGCGGAGTCGGAGGAACGCGAACAGCGAGCGGTGGAGGCAGCTGAGAGGCAGGTGCGCAGGCAATGGCGGCAGTGGGAGCGGGACGCGATGGCCGAGAACAGAAAAGCGGTAGAGGAACAACAGGAGCGGGCCGAGCGTGAGCTAGCCACGGCCCGTACGGCGTGGGAACGGGACCGAACTGACAGAATTGCCGCCCTGGAAACAAGGGTATGTATACTTCTATTGCTACTGTTCAGTGTGTCGTAGTACGATATAATTAATAATTATTATGCAATCCACCGACTAATGATTGGTCAGTGATTAGTGTTGACATAGTCTATAGGTTATAACGGTAAAAATACTATGCACACAATTAATTAGTTTTTTTTACAATTTCGTTAATGTCACCACAATTTTTTAAGAAAGCAAAAACAAATTGTAATAAAGAATCTATGATACACATTGTACAGTATGATTTCATGAGAATCGTATTTCTTATAACTATTTAACATTTTCGTTGGAATTTCTGGAAAAATCTTGAAATTTGCATTTCATATGTTATGACTATTGTCTTCATAGTTGTGGTTAAGAAAATGTTACATTGATATAAAACGTGTCACATATTTTTCCCTATTATTATAAATATGATGGTTCTGAAATTAGTTTGCGAATCTAACATAGAAATATTTTACCAAATTCTGTACATAATAATTAATTAGCACAGAATCAGGTAAAATATATTATAAAAAAAATATAATAATATTTTAAAACAATTTTTGTAAACTGTATTAATTTTTTTATTAATATATTATATCGTATAAAAAATATGGTTATAAATTATGTGGCTTACTATTTTTAAAGGTATAAATTATAAATTAATTATACCTTTTTATGTGTAACATTGATATCGTTACCTTACCTAATTCCATGACAGAAAACTGGAATGGTATAAAAACGAGTGTTTTCGTTCAACAATTATTCAAGTAATAAAAAATTAACTTTATTACATATTTAAATTCATTCGTAAATATAACTTATTAAAGAGTTATTAGTGCTTTAGTGTTTTTTATATAATTAAATTTTATCTGCATAACCAAACAATAATTGTAATGTCATATAGGTATATCATGTATTTATTCATTAGGTATAGTCAAACTAGTTACACATTTACTCTTAAAAACTGAAATGAGAATTTAAAAAAAATTTATTTTGTAAGTAACCGAAGACATAAGATTTGTAACTTACTTATAATGGTTTACCTATGTTAGCTATACTGCCTATACATATGTAGAATCAAAACAAACTATGATCTGTAAAAATTTCTCTTTCGCATAATGGAATGTAATGTACCTGTTTACTTAGTTATCGTCTGAAAATTCGTTATACAAATATTGATAACAAATAATTAAATTAAATTAAATAATAGTATATCCGCATAGTAATTATTACAATTATTGTAATAGGATCATAGGGGTTAAAATTATATTAAAAAATATTCATATTTATTAACTAATATGTTTACTTTATATCGGAGTAGCATGATTTGGCATTTTTGTCTGTTCGGTATTCAAAATCCAAACAACTTTTGGGCCCTCGATAACCCTAAATCAGTGTTTCCCAACCGGTGGTCCGTGGGCCAGTCATAGGTGGTCTGCGGTACCTTTCTTAGTTTTCTATTAAAAATTATTTTTTTTTTTAAACTGCGAAAAATATTTTATTTTACCGTAATATACGGTTATCTTATCGTATACAAAAATCACACTAAGTAAATTATTAGTAAAGTTTAATAATTATATATAATAGTACAGTAAAATAATAAAAATTTTCCAATAAATATTTGTGTATTCTTGTTAATGAGCAAAAAAAAAAAAAAGTCTTCCTAGTTTGAGGTGGTCCGCGACCTATAAAATATTGTCAAAGTGGTCCGTGGTGGTAAAAAGGTTGGGAAACACTGCCCTAAATATAGACTTCATTTGGGAATTGAAATGAAAAAAGTGCATACCTTTTTTTGAGAAGTATATAAGCCATATTATTATAGATCTATTATATAAATATATTGCACTAAAAAATAGGCAGGTACCTTCTAATAATATTTATGAGAATTCAAAAATATGAAAATTGTGTTTCGTCAAATTTTTATGGTGGGTACCTAATCAATAAACTGACAATATAAAATATTAGGAAAATTAAAAAAATTAAAAAAATGTTTGAAAATTACAGATGTATTTTTAACATTGTCTGTGATATAGGACTTTACTGCAGTCCACTGTAATTATCATTGTAGCCAGTCCTATTTCATAGCTACGCATTACGATTTACATATTTTATAAAGTTCGTATGTGACGTCAGTATGACGAGTCATTACAACTTTTTAGTTTTAATTCTTGTTGATAATAATATATGATTTCTGACATATACATTTATATATAACTTGCATAAAAAGGTATATACCTACTTACCGTACATAAAAACCTACATATATATTATTAAAATTATATTTATTATTGTCTACAGTGCCCTTGCGAGTTACGACATTAGAAAAAAATAGTGCCAAAACGTATTATGATTTCAGATTTTGTGCCCAAACATGTGGCATTTTGGGATAAAAATATAAAGTGCCAAAAGTATTGGAGCCCTTTATAGTTTATGTTGTTAGAAATTTTTCTTTTTTATAATAATTATATAATTAATTAGGTACCTACTAAATGGCAATTAATATCTTCGGAAAAAACAATATATATATTTTTTCCTTTTTCCTACCAGATCTATTCTCATTATTATAATTATCTAGTTAGTAACTTTGTTTTTATACGATAATTAAGTGCAGAAATTCCATACAATAACATTATATTAATAATTTACAAAAAAACATATAAGTATAATTCGAAAAATCAATTTTTTTATTAATTTATTTTAAAAATATATGAATAGAATTTTCCTCGATTTATCGAAACTGTTGGTACATCAAGTTTTAAAATATCATAGAAAACGCTTTTTACAGTCAAGTCTCGATAACTCGGATTTCAAGGAGAATATAAATAAATTCAACATATTTTTCAAGTTATATTCCTCCAACACGGCCTAAAAACACTTTAAGGAGCAAGAAAAAATTCGAGTTATCGAGGTTTTCGAGTTATCGAGACTCAACTGTATTTATTAATAGATAATACCAAACATTTTTCGTACACATTTAATCACTCTCTTGGCGTCAATTCAACGCATAATATTGTACATTATATGTGGTAAATTTAAGACATATCGACTATCTTAACTTATATGCTAATACCACGTGTATATGAAAATCGAAAAATAATTTAGTTAAGCACCTAACTCAATATCATTGTATAAATCATAGATTCAACGAATAGTAATTTTTTTGTTTCTTTCTAAAATTTTTTTGAGGAGTAATTACATTACATTAAGAATAATATGCTTTGAAAAAATTTATTCTACAAACATTTCGATTATTTCTATATTACAATAAATTATATTATATTAAACATTACAACAAAAGGAGATACGAGTATATTTACTAAATAGTGTATGCATAATTCATACATATGTGTAAAATGATAGTTTTTCAAATATTAAAAGTATTAGTAGTATTTCTACTATTTAAAAAAATAATATGATTTGTCAATATTTTGATATTTTTTTTTATCTATAATAGTATCGATCATAATCACTCAACTTGATAACAATTTTATAAATAATAACAAATAATAAATACAAATCTTTAAAAACCTGAAAAAGATATTTCCCAGTTTTCTATAAAAAAAAGTCCCCCCTATTATGTATGTAAATCAGTTGTAACACCATGAGGGAATTGTATTATAACGCAATTGTTATTGAGCAGTGGACGGAGCGTATGCAGGATGCCGTTCAAGCGGAACGGGCTAGGGGAGCGGCGGCCGCGGAAGAGTTGCGGCGTACTAGTCAGGATGAACAGAAGCGAATTTTGGCCACTGCAACCGCGGAAGCTGCTGCTGAAGCTTGCCGCAAAGCTCGGGCCGAAGCAGACGCTGAGTTGATCAAACTTCGACGGGCTGTAGACACGACGGCGTTGTGGTACGAAGACTTACTTGACGCGGCTCGCGCTGAACGGGACCGATGTACGGGTGAGTAAACGACTATCAAATGAGAAGAGGTTATAACCTTGAGGGACTACTAAAATCGTTTATTATATTATCTACGTTTTAACTGATTGTAATTTGTGTCTCTGGATAGAAAGAGCAGACGAAGCGGAACGAAAACAGTCGGAAGCTGAACGGAAACAGTCGGAAGTGGAACGGAGTCTGTCAGAAGCGGAACAGAAATTGTCAGATGCTGAAAGCGCCAAAACGAAAGCGGAGAAGGAGCTGGCGGAAGTGTCCAGCTGGCTGACGGAAATGGAAATTAATCTGGCCACAGCAAAGAGCGATCTCGCCAACCTGGATAATCTATTGGTACAATCAGCCAATAAGCAGGCGGAAACCGAGAGCAAACTGAAAGTGGCAGAACAAAAAGTTATCGAATTGGAAAAAAAGTTGGCCACCCGTGTGGCAGTGAAATCAGCTAATAACCGCCGTGACGACAACGATGAGAATGACGAGGACGAAGACGAGGAAGAGAACAACGAGGACGACGAGGATGGTGACGGTGACGTCGAAAGTGCAGCTACAGGCTTTAGTGTGGCCACCGACGACGATGACATAAACGGCGAGACAGAACCGAAGAGCTGCTGCGTCCGGGCTGTTAAGTAAGCTTCCTTGTTTACATACCATAATTATTATACCAAACTTTTGTTGTTTAGGTGGGCTGGTCCTTATATATTAATTATTCTTATTATTTCTCTTTGCATATGTCCTACACCTCCATATGGCTACCAATTCCCCCCACAATCACTTCTTTACTTACACTAGTTATTTTCGTGGGGTCTGGGTCGAAATCCCGACAATTATAATCCCGACATGTAAAATCCCGACATACCAAATCCCGACAAATCACAATACCGACAGTTTAAAATCCCGACAAGTCACAGTACCGACTGCTTAAAATCCCGACAAATCATAATACCGACGGTTTAAAATCCCGACCAAACATATTTACATAATATTATCATGTTCATTATTCAACAATTTCATTAAAAAACTCAAACAATACATTACACTACAATTACATTATATTTATACTATTATATTCGTTAATAATTATTTAAAATATTTATATTTAATATTTATATAAGTACATCATAATTTATATTATTATTTTCATTATTGGATTTAATATTCGGAATGTGACCGCCGATCGTCATTGAACAAAAAAATTAAAAAAATATATAAAACTACATCGATATATTATGAGCCAAACCCCGTAAAAATTCTAAGACACTCCTATTTGATATATCTTTATATACCGTCATTATTCTTTTCTCTCTGTCAATTATTTGTTTTTTCTGTTTCGGTTTTGGTTCTCCACGATTAATGCATTCAATTTCCAAGTCAACTCGTTGTTGTTCTTTCTGAAGCTCCTCTATCATTGTATAGACTCCAACATGAGGTTTACCAACCAAAGTTGACCAACGTCGATGCCAAGCTTCCACAATATTTTGTGTCCTAGGAATTCCGTGGTCCATTAATTCTGACACAGACCAAAGTTTGGGCGGAAAAAGTGGGTCTGTGCGTATAATATTACCATTTCTTTGGTTTCGGCGACGAATCCGGCCATGTACATAATTGTCTTCAAACCATTGGACAACTTCTTCAGCTTCGGGAGGAAATGTCGCTTTAAGTTCATCAAATGCTGCAGGTATATTTTCAGATGGAATAAAAGCCAGGGCAAGCATTTGTCTTATTTTTAAACTAAACTTTTCGTTTGTACCATATAAATTCACCAAGCCAGATGATTGAATTTTTCTCCAAGTACTTTGAGATAAATGAAAAAAACATGCCTTGTTTTTCACGTTAGGAAACTCAGCTTTTGATGCCTTTATTGCCGCCTGTTCAAAATCTGTCATTATCCAATATGGATTTAGTTACCCGCCATTATCTTCGCAAAAATCAATTAAGTCTTGAAAAAGACGTATATACAGGGTTTCAGATTTTGATGACATTAAAGCATATGCTAGTGGCAAAACTCGAAAATTGTCTCCTCCTACAGGTGCATGTATGGTATATAGCTGTCTAAATATTGTCGGGACTGTCCAAAACGTACCATCCATAATTAAATAACGAGCATGCGACAGCCGTTGAACATTATTTTTAGTACAAAATAGTAGAAGTTTTTCATCATTAATGGTTGAATCTTTAATTAAAAATAACTCCCCGCCAATTGTAGTTCTCAGTGAATCGGGAATTGTTAGATCTTCTAATGATTGAGGTTGCGATGGCGTATTTTCCCTTCTAACACGCTTTATTTGTTGCCGTAGAGCATTTCTATTCGGCATGTATGGATGAGCAGTACTTGGCATATTTGTAACGCAACTTTGAATAATTTGGCAGGGTTGGTCATTGGTATTTCGTGCTTGATCTTTTAAATGGCTAAGAGTAGTACATACATCAACCCTAGCTGCTTCAGGTGCGTGATTATGATCAGAAAATTTACGTAATAAATGTTTTTCGTTGACAAGTATAGTGGTTGCACGTCCTATGAATGAAACGCAAAAATTAAAAATAATTTTTAATTATTACTTCTATTGTTATTATTATTTATATTAAAATGTGAGTTAAAATATCGAGTCCACTGAAATTTGTTCATTTATCAATTAACATAATAGTATGTCCCAAATGAAATTTATTATACATATATTTTTTGGATGAACGGTACCACACAATGACAATGTACACGAAATAATAACGTACACGGTATCGCAATTTAACGGCACGGTAATATCGATAAGGAATGTTGACACTTGACACCCATAAACGTCTATAACGTATATAATGTCAAATACCCACGAATAATATTTTTAAATTTCAACATATATTATATAAAATAATATTAATATTATATAGTATACATATAATATCATTTTTATAAGATATATCAATTTTGAAAAACTACTTATATGAAATATTTATTTTGGCGCAAATGATATGTCATTTTCGTACCTTTGGCGCTTATGTCATATAACCAATTTATTAATTTGTCTTTCCGGTTAATGAAATAATAACTTACCTGTGCAGGCCATTAGTTTTCTTTTTTCGCAGCACCAATAATATATGTCCTCTCGATTCTTGTCTTTTGTCATTAAATATCCCTTGACACATATTTTGGCATTTCCTTTTTGAGATGGGATAATTTGACATATTTCACTCATAATAAAAAAACTAACTTATATTTAAAACAAAGGTACTATACAATTAACACGCAAAAATACGTTTGTTCATTTGAAATGTTCAATCGTTCACTGAGACTTGGGACAAATAATTGAGCGTTTTTTTATTTATTTATTTATTTATTTATTTTACATTACGGGACTAGCCCAAAGTACAGTTAATGGAATAAGATACAGACAAAACATTATAATAATATTGATATAAAACAAAGACTAAAGATTAAAGACTCGAGAGGTTCTCATTTGCTAAACGCATCATTCGGTGGATAGGGTGGTTTCGGCCATAGTTAGTGGTGTGTCGAGGAACGTAGTAGGAGGCCGTTAGCCTGGAAGACCTACTTGGAACACGAAAGTTTACCTCAGCGAGAAGCTCGGGAGCATTTATGGTACCATTCGTAAGTTTATTTAGGAAGATAATGTTGGCAAAAACTCTTCTATCGGAAAGACTACTAAGTTGTAAGTGGTGTAAGACTGGGGAATAATCGTGAGGTTCATGATGGATATTAAGACAAAAGGATGCAAAATTAAGGAATTTACGCTGAACACGCTCAAGTAGGGAAGAGTCAGAGGTTGTATAAGGATCCCAAAGAATGGAACCATATTCTATTATCGGCCTTACAAGCACACAGTATAAATTTTTGAGAGAATAGGTTAGATTGAAATTAGAAGAGAAGCGTTTTATAAAACCTAATGTCTTTAAAGATTTACAGGTGACGTGCTCAATGTGGGAGTGGTAGTCTAAGTTGGAAGTTAGAAGGATACCCAAATCTTTCTTTACAGTAACTCGCGTTATGGAATGGTTGTTAAGAGAATAATCGAATAGAATAGTAGATAATATAGGTACTAAATTAAACTTTTATAAGATAAGATAAAATTATTTTATTTTGTCGATATTTCAAATGGTCGGTATTTTGAACTGTCGGTATTTTGAACTGTCGGTATTTTAAACTGTCGGGACTTTAAACTGTCGGGATTTTGGTTTCGGGTTTTTGACCATTCGGGATTATCATTGTCGGGATTTTGAACGCCTCCCATTTTCGTGTCTTTCTGTACTCCTTCAATTGTCTTAGCTCACTCTCTATTTTCATATACATGCATTTTCATAGCTATATTCACTGCCACCCAACCTCATTTGATCGAATATTGGTACCAATTCTACAATACCCCGAACGAATTTATTTCTTATTCTGTCATTTCTAGTTACTCCACATTAGAATTCTCACTTTATTTTTTATAAGACAGTAAGACACAGTGCCCAACATTTTGATCCATACAACATGATTGGTCAAACAACTGCTGTATGAAATCTTTATTTTAATCTCAACAGCATCATCTTGCTCACAAAAAATACCTGACGGTTCTCTCCACTTCATAAATACATAATTCTATTAATGACGTCATTCTCAAAATCACGATTCTTTTATACTACCTTGGAGCTGTTCTCCGAGTGCAGCACTACATCATCCCCCATCTTCACAAGCCTTGTCCCATCAAAGTCTCGATTACTTCCTCCATAACCATCATCTTTGTTTTACGCCTACTTATCCTAAGTCCCTTCCCTACCAGAGTCGTTCTCTACACTTCCAATTCCAAGTTCACTTATCTTGGCCTTTCTTCCAATAACACAACATTATCTGCAAACATCGAGCATTTACGCATCATGGCACCTCACCTTGTATACAGTATTTTAATTGATTGGAAAGTCAGTAGTTCTAATTTGAAATATAATGTAGATATTCTAGTGCTGATTTTTTAATGTAATAAATCACTAATAACCTATCTTTTACGAAGCTCTATAATAACTATTCAAACTAATTTATTGATTTTAAAATACAATTTTACTTTGAAAATTCGAAAACAGCTATTTTGTAAAGCTTAAATTTATATTATGGAGAAAAAATAACTTTGGATTTCATTGAATTTGGAATGAATGAAAGCAACTTATTTTTTCAAAAATAAAACATAATATTGAAAAATGATATAGCATTCACTCTTTAATAACTAATTATGGGACCAATGGGTAATTATGAACACACTACTTGTTGAAATTGTATAATCATTTATATTTGTTTTATAATATTGTTCAATATATCCACCAAGAACTACTATGCACAAGTCAGTTGTATGAGCCCATGATTTTTGTATCCAATGAAATTAGAGCTATAAATAAGAAATGTGTTAAATACTTTAGGTATTTTTGAAAATATATACTAATTTTATACATTCAATTTACAAAAGACTATATTCGATTTTTTAAGAAATTTAAAAAAAATTAAAGCAATTTTCTTAGACCAAGATAAAATTTAGTTGATTGCATTCAAATAAACTGCAGTAGAATATCTGAATTATATTTCGAATTTGAGCTACTGGCTTTCCAATTAATTAACATGCTGTATATTTCTATAACAGGATATAAATATATAAATTAAATCTTAAAATTATTAAGTCTTTTAAGTCTCTAAGTTCTTAAATTCATTCTTTTTTATATTACCTGTTTAAGCCGTTTACGGTACCCATGAAGAAAAATAGTTACAATACCTACTTGCCCATAGCTACTAGGCGCGTATACAGGGCGGGTCAACCCTTCCCCCCTCTCCCGAATTTTTATTTTGGGTACCCCCTTGATTGCTACAAAGTTGAGTATGCCACGATCTAGAAAATATTATTATTATTATTATTCTGTGTCAAGCAACCTTGTATATAAACTATAGACTATAAAAATAAAATGAACAGAAATTTAGTAACATAAAACAAAAAAAAACTAATGATCAATAATCTTTAAAATACTTATCATAAAGTTTATCTAATGATTCAGTTGTAGAGTGACTTTACATAGGAGTTATCATAAGTGCCCCATGCTTTTCGTTTTTTGTAATTCACAAGTTTTAAAAATTTTGCAACAAATACATTTTAGATACACTTTTAGTAAAGTTTCATTAAGAAATTGTTTTAAAAGTAAGTTTATTTTCAACTTTTTAGTTCATGCATTAAGTAGAATTAAGAAAAGCATGTTTTTAAAACTAAACAACACAACGCTATGAATTTATTTTGTAGAGAGAGAGAGAGAAAGTCATTATTCACTGACAGTCAAATGTTTGATGCTAATATTAAGACTTGTTTTTAATGATAGTTAACTAAATAGGAACACATATAACATACACAGGAAACCGTTTGGAAATTATGGGCTGGTTATAAATATTAAATGAACATTTAATATTTCTATAGTTTCAGCATAAATGTTACCTCTATTATCCATGAGTATTATAAAAGTCTATTGTATATGATTAAAATAAAATATTATAAAAAGTTACCCGTGGATCGGCAGTACCTACAGTGTATTGTACGGTATGTCGGCTTGTACATAATCAACCGTTTTTCCTTCCCTTGTACCAAATTTTAATTACCTACAGTTAGAATTATTTCATAGTGTATTAAATATTATATTAAATATTTTATTCAACAGGAGGCGCGTAGCACAACTGATTGTGTCACATGGTCAGCGGATGGAAGAGCAGCGTGAACGGCATGCACGGCAGATGCGTCGACAGTTGGAGATGTTGATGGATCAACGTCAACAGCAGCACCACTATCACCATCAACAGCAAAAGCATGAACAACACCAGCAGCCACAGAACCAGCAGCAACAACAACAACACCAGCAACAGCATAATGATCTGGAAGAGCATAATCTGCAGGAAGAGCATCAACAGCAGCAGCAAAAGCAGGATGAGCAGAATGAGCAATGGCAACTCCAGCAGCGGAGGCGTCGACCTCGTGGCGGCGGAGTTGTTGGAGCAGAAAGATCAGAAGGTGGTAGTGATCGCAGACCACAACCACATTCGTCACCGCCTCCGTGCAACGGCGGTAGCGGAAGCAGCAGTAGCAGCCGGAGCAGCCGGCGCCGGAATAAGCACCGACAACAGCAACAACAACAGACCCCGAACCCGAACCTCCGGGGACCTCCGCCACCGCCAAGGCCGTCCGGGAGACCGACTGCATGACAAACAACGAATGCTATTGAATGTTTATTATTTGTACTCATATGATAACTATTGCTATTGCGTGGCGTGTGCCCACTTTTGTTTATAATTATTTATTTACGACTGTATTTATTTATATTTATTTATTTGGGGTTTTTTTTTATGAATCGCGTGTTTCAAAAATACTCATTTACTATTATTACTACTCATTATATATTATAAACATTACTATATTATATTATATTATGTGCCGTGGCTGTTGTCGAATGTTTAAACCAGCCACGAACATCCCTCAGAGACGACGAGTTTCTCAACCCTCAACCTCCATCACCTTCCCTTTTCATAATAAAGAACTTTACGCACATCAAATACGATGAATTGTTTGCATGTAATTTGTTTTGATCATTCTAACGATCTTTATTTTATTCACATTACTAAATCTCCATACACTTTATACCCACAATATTTATATATATATATATATATATATATATATAATGATCATAATTATTATATCTAGTTAATGTTTCACAAGATGATTAATAATAAGGCAGCTGGTACGTGATAACCAAGGCAGAATGCGCTTGAAATGTCATTCGTCAGTCAATTATTTTGCATTTTTACGAGTTACGACGAAACAAAAATTATATCTTACAGCGTCTGATAAGAGAGTATATAATATGATAAAATTATTACTCATTTATATTGATCTTATATGTATATACCAAATAAAAAAAATATGATATTTATTACCACGAAAATACATTTTCGTTGCATTTTTAAATTATATTAGTGACTATATTATATAAAACTACCTGATCCCGCGCACTTTGTTGTCGGTAAAAAATTACAACTTTTAAAAAATTGTGATTGTTCCACTCTTTTTGGGCGCGACTCAATAGGTCGCGAACAATGTGTGACAGCATATCAAGTAGACAATGTGCGGAAATTTGATTTGATCGCACCTTATCTTCCCCATTAACCAATGGCAATAAAATAATAAACACACTTTTCACCGTAAATCTCAAAATTCCCATTTGAGAACCTTCCTGACCAATATATTACGACCTATTTTAATATCTACCAAATATTTAAAAAAAAATATAATTAAAATCGGTCGAGCCACTACGGGGGAGTGAGACCACTAACACCGTGACACGAGATTTTTATATATTAGAGGTACGTCATAATTATACAAGTATAAATAATTATTTTGGTGTTCGGTTACATGGAAAATATTAAACAAGATGATTGTGAAATATTAATTAACAAACATGCGCTGCTGCCTAAAACAGACTCCTTCAAAGTTTTCAATATATAAGAGCTGCATTATTTAATTTTTAATCAATCATAATGGAAAGCATAATTTCTTCTTGCAAGCTCATAATTAATTTAAAAAAATTATCATAATATCTGTATATATAAAAGAAGAAGTCGGAAGTCCTGACTTACCGATTCATAAATAATCATAACCAACGCACAGCCTCAACTCTCAACTATATACATAGCGGCTTGAAATATCCAGGGTATGTTTGTAATATAGTCTAGACGTGCAATAAGAAAGGATTTTGAATAATTTTGATTGTAAGGGGTTGAAATGTGCAAAAAAAATGTTGTATAAGTATGTTGAAATAATCTCTAGCTACCGTCTTGTGTGCTGTGACTTTATGTCTACAAATGTGGTGCTATGTATATCGGCGTATCTCGATAATAGATAAAGCCATAAAGATAATACAATTTTTTACTAATCGTTATAGTAATGTAAAATTGAAACGAACTTAATTTATATAATTTAGCTAGGTACTCGTGGTATAAAAATAAAACGATCGGTGTTTTCCTTACAACTCTCACGTATTTTATATTAAAACTATGTTTGTAACAACATTTATATTTATTTGTAGTTTATAACTTCGATCAGTCTTTATTTATGACAGAGTGCGTAAACGATTATAATATAATCGGTGCAAGTACATTTCTCGCAAACAACAGACATTAATGGTATATATTTGCAAACATAAAAATGGATTATAGTTCAGTTACTGAAATGAAGAATAAAATCACGGTTTCTTAAACAATAGGATTTGCATATTTTTAAGTAACAAGACAGTTGGAAATAATAGATCACTAGGAGGAGTATTTGGAACAACTCTGTGAAATATTTAGAAAAAGTTCATTAGTGTCGTCAGAAAATTGCTATATAAAACCTGCCGGTTATTTTATATATATACCCGTTTTGGTGAAATATCAAAAACATTTTATTGACCCAAACACACGTATTGTGCACACACCAAAAATCAAAGAGTTTTGCGTATTAATGAAAAAATAAAATAAAATAAAATTTTAACTTATGGTACCAACTTTGCTCACTAGATAGCTTCAGGAAAAACGGTGGCGTTCCTTATATCCAAAAATGGATACAATCTTTGAAGAATATCTTCGAGACCTTTTAATCGACATTTATATAGCAAAGTAGATCAGATTTTGATGGTATTCATAAACCTGCACTGTGTAACGGGGAGTACGAGATTTTGATGGTATGGTACATATTGGACCACAGCTTACATTTATAATAATTAATAGTATACTATAATTTTAATTTTAATTATTATTGTACTTCATATTTTATTTTCTTAAGTGTTTCTTTAACCATACATAAATATGGGTTTCTTTATTAAGGCGCTGTGTGTAGGCAATGTATTGTGTTTTACCGCAGAGTGAATGTAAATAATTTTAATAATATTATTAGAAAAGTGAGAAAAAATCAGGGCTTCAAAACATTATTAACAACATTGTAACGGAAAATAATGACAAAAATAAACGATAAACAAAAAAAATCTAATAAAAATAAACATAATATATCATTAATCAAAATGTTATTAAAAACAAACAACACACATATATTACCTATATTATGATGTAACATAAAAAATTTAAAATTACGTTATTCAAATTAAGGTTTTTGCTTTTTTTACGCCAAACTTGACATCGCTATTGTTTTTAAGTTTTCAGATTTCAATAAGATATAACTTCGAGCGTGTGGTTTGGTGTACCTACTAAATACTTATATAACATTATTTTGCCATTTTAAGTTGTATTATTGATAAAATAAAAATAAAATAAAAAGGTGGGCAAGTGGGTGTCGCTCTGCTGTACAGTATTGTACAAGTGGGTCACCGGATAATGGATGATATTAAATTTGAATTCAACGATATAATATCATTGTATAAGAAAAACGATTCTGAGCGGTATGTCAGTCTAGGTATAAGACATATTATATATATATCTATGGTACTGAACCAAAATTTGACCTATAATAGGTACCTATAATAAATTCCAAATTAATCATATCACAATATCCATTAGGTATTTATAACACGTTATACATCAATAACAAACCCTCATACTATCATAGATATATAATATAGTGTACTTTAGAAGTTTCAAGTACCCACGAATAATAATATTCAATCACAACAAAATAACTAAAATAGTTATTCTAGGTTTTTTAATATGTAATTTCGTCCAAATTTGAATTTAAAATGTCTGTAAAAAATAACTGTGTTGATATATTTTTTAGATTTTTTGGTTACAGTATGAAATATTTATGAGAACCTTTGTTTTAAATTTGCAATCCTTAGCTATAAAAACTGAACATTTTATAATTTACTAATTACAATGATTGATAATTTTCGAGATTTTGATAAATTTTGTCAAAATTCAATCTGTAAATGCTTATAAAAAAAAACTGTGAAAATATATTTTTAATATTTTTCATCTGCTATTGTAACAATATATCAGGAGCCTTGTATTAAATTTTTACACTTTTTGGCCAAACAGATAAAACTTTATTGATATTCATAGAAAAAAAAACTAAAAAAATTGAAAAATGAAAATATCCGTAAACGGCTCAAAAAGAGTCACAATATTTTCAAAATTGTATGGTGTATAGGAAATGCTAATATAAACATTCAGTGAAATTTTCATGTATCTACAGTAATTCGTTTTTGAATTACAACAAAATAAGGAAATCGCCACATGAGAAATCGAGTGAATATCCAATGTTGTAAAAATTTGAATTTCAAACACTCATAAAAATTTAATTTGACTTTCTTATAGAATTTTTTTTGTTTGATAAATGTAGGAAAACTTATAAGGAATCTTGTATTACATTTTCATATCTTAGATTTAAAAAGAAAATTTTTTATGAATTTCTAACTCGAAATAATTTGCAAATTTTCGTGATTTTTCCATATTTTGTCATTTTTTGAACTTTAAATGCTTAAAATAAAAACTGCGACTAACGATTTTTAATATTTTTCATCTGTCTTTGAAACAATTAGAGTAGGAGCCTTGTATTAAATTTTCAAGTATTTTTACTCAACAAATACATTTTTATTGATATTCATAAAAAAAAAAAACTAATAAAATTGGAAACTGAAAATGTCCCTAAACAGTTCAAAATAAATCAAAATATTTTGAAAATGTTATCGTGTATAGAAAATGCAAATATAAACAACCAGTGAAAATTTCATGTATCTACGGTCATTTGTTTTAAAGTTACACCAAAAACCAAATTCAATTTTCTGAAAAATCGATTTTGCTTAGAAATTCCCGTTTTTCCTTATTTTTTCTTTTGTTTTTCTTGGCGCTTTTGAAAAGTACTGGGAATTTTAAATTTTGACCTCCCCAATGCACCAACGATATTCACTTTCCAATCGAACAAGATACTGAAGTCGAAAATCGAAGCATTATTTCGACTACTTATCGTGTACACAGACACAAAAATAAAAAAAAAAAACACACATCATTGTAAAATCAATACATTCATCGTTTCACTCAGAATCTAAAATATTTTTTTTAATAATCTATTATAATTTCTTTCATTCTTCCCATAATATTTAAGCAATATTTTATACTTAAACTATCAATAACTTGCTCCAGTTACAGCTACTTACTAAAAACTCCTATGGTGATTGAAAATAACCTAACCTGGACTTTTTATTTATTTTATTTGCAAAT